GATAAGAGTTGTATGAGCCCCTAATAAAATAAAAAAATAAAAAGTGGAATTCCAAAAAAAAGCAGCAGCTACGAGTTTATGCTGAGTTGACCCATGACTCACCAGTCTTTACAGAGTCACAGTGAAGCATCCTCGCACGCGCGCGCTCTCTCTCTCTCTAATAGGCCCGACACCGGCCCCACCACCAGGGGAACCCCACTGTTTCCCAGGAAGCTTCATTCACAGATTCTGCCCAGCCACCACCTGCTAAACCCTGAAGCAGGAGCCACAGTCTGCTCCCTGAATGGACTTCATTCTTCTGTTAAAATGATCTTTGTGCGGTCAGTTTAGCTGAGGTCTAGGAATGCCACACTGGACAGACACTCAAACATTGTCCCTGGACCCAAATCATACACCCTTCGCTGTATTTTGATCAGCAGACTCAGTGGAACGTTGTCATTATTGCGTCTCCTAATCACTTACTGACGTCTGTCAGGCCAGATTGATACTGAAACTGCTAATTGCCACCTAACACATCTGAACGTGATCCTGAGAGAAACGAGCATAGGCTGCTCCTACCTGGTGTAATCACAGATGAATCAACAAGCGGATCAAAAGGTTTTAATGTTGGGGCTTTTCAGAAATGATTTCAGAAAAAACTGGCCAGGCCCATTGTTCAATTCAAAACGAAACCATCAGCCTTCTGTCCCATGTAATTTCCGGTTTAGGCTAGAACTTGCAGTGGTGAGAGGGACCTAGATGTAGCCCTCAGTGAGACACGACGATCTCTGCTCCTTGGGACAGGGGACTGAGCAGGTAGCAAGGGAAATGGAAACAGTGCTATTGTCTCTTTTCTCACTGTGAAGCCCCGTGAAGTGCTGGTTGAGAAGGTGAGAGAGGGCGGGCGGCCTATCAAAGAGCTTCTGGCACAGGGAACAACGGAATTGCCCGGGTGCCCAGAGCTGGAAGCCAGCGCCAGCATGACAAGGGTACGAGAAGACTTATTGTGAAAAATACCTAATTACCTAATTAGTGTGTGTTTGCTTTACATATTGTCTCAAATACAATCTGCTTCAGGGGTGATTACAATGGTTGCCAAACTTTTGCTGCTTTAATTAAGAGACCTGGTTTGGATCAGCTGGGAATGGAGAAGCACTGGGCAAACGGAGAAGGCAGCAAGGCCAAGCTGGTGGTTTTCCTCCCTGGCTTTGCCTGTGTGTGCATGGGGGTGTGGGGGGGTGTGGGTGTGAGGGCAGCTTTTGAAGGGCAAGTAAGCCCTGCTGAGGCAGAAACTGCAAGGGGATATGCATGCACCCCTGTCTCCAGCCCCCATTTAAATAATAAGCTTCAGGTGGTAAGGAGCTGGTGCTAGTCACTTCTTTTAAGAGAGAAAGAGTATGTAAGTGGGGAAAACGGAGGGGGGTGGCGGCAAAGAAAGAAACTAAGAAGTCTTTCCTCTGAGAACTAATTCAGACCCACATGAGTGAGGTACCCAGTTAGCTACTCAATCAGCAGTCATCTCAGGAGCATCACAACATTGCAATCACTTTGACCAGGGCTCCCTTAGCGGTAAATCCAATCATGCTGTTCAATCACGAAAGCCAAACCCACTGCCGTTTAGTCCATGCCCACTCACATCAAGTCTACAGAACAGGAGAGAACTGGCAGTGAATTTCTGAGACTGAGTACTCTGCACGGGAGTACAAAGCCCTGGCTTTCTCCACCTGAGCGAATGGTGGTTTCAAACTGCTGACCTTATGATCACAGCCCAACAAGTAGCTGCTGACAAGTCAATTCTGACTCCCAGCCAGCCCTGCGTGCCAACCTGCTCCACTGGGCTTTCACAGCTGTGGCCTTTCGAAGCAGATCACTAGACCAGCCGTGTGACCTCAGTGGGTGAGTTTGAATCATCAACCTTTTTAGCTAGTAGTCCTGTGCTAGTAGTTCTTTGCGATTGACCAGGGGGATGAAGTTACAATGTGTATTATTACTTAACCAAGGACAGATAAATAAGGTTTCCCCATTCTAAGTGAAAAAACAGAGCATAAAGATGAATATAAAAATTAGATTTAATCTTATTACTCAAAAATATACTTGCTGGTAACTTTGATATATTCCTTTGTAGGTTTTTTCCTATGTGGGTAACATTTCAGCCCTATTCCCTACACAATGGCACTAATATCCTTTGAAATTTAGATGTAATTATATACATATAAACCTCAGGCTTAAAAAATACCATTCTGTCATATTCTTCCCAATGTTTTCAAACGTTTTTCTAAAAAGACATTTTACAGAAGTGCGACCATTGAACCCCTCCTCCCCTACTGTTGGATATATGCATTATTTCCAGTTTGTTTTGCTTTTATAAGTAGTGCTGTAGTAATTATCTTTGTAAGTGTTTCACCACATCTCTGACTTGGGAAAGCTTCTGAAATCAGAGTATACATGTGTCAGTTCCTTCTTTATAAATTTGTTGCTTCATGAAATCACTAGGAAGATTAAGTGAGGTTATGTTTATATATTACTAGCTAGAGTTTTTGGCACATGCTAAGTGCTCAATAAATATTTACTTTTATTTATTGTTATTATTTAAGTTCCTTAAAAGCTTGATGCATACCACTAAATTAATTTCCTAAATGCCATTATCAATTTACACCTCTCTCTAGCTTATTTCACTGCATCCTCACTGAGTCTAATTTTGTTTTCATTTAGCAAGTCATCTTGAGAAAATTAATAATGAACGAAGGATTTAAAATGGCAGAAGCAAATATGAATTAAGGAAATTTGGGAAGCTAATTTGGAACCAAGCATTTATTACAGTGTTTCTGACTTACCATGATCTTGCTGTGCCTTTGAGTCTGTTGACTCAAAGCAATGACCACAGGACAAGCCACTCCCTAGTCTTGCACCAGCCTCTAAGTGTGAACATGCCTGAGATCACTGTTTGGCCATTGTGTCAACCCACCTCCTTCCTCTTTTCACGGTCCTTCATCCAGCATGATGTCCGTTTTCATAAACGGGTCTCTCCTGCTAACATGCCCAAAGGGTGGGAGGCCAAGCCTCCCGACCCTGACTTCTAGGAAGTGTTCTGCCATCAGAGTTAAGTGATACTATGAGGATTCAGACCCAGGTAGTTTGATTCTTAGCCATTAAGCTGCCTGTCAGCTCAACAATACACAAATCTCAATTTATAGACATCACAGAAAATTCTCACATTCACTGTGAGGTTTATCATTAAAACAAAAGGAAGGTGTCTACAATATTAGAGTAGCATCGGTATACCCCCGATGGCTGATGTTCTTGGGTAAAATAAAGGAATACACGACAGAAATTTGGGGGAAGTGAAAAAAAGGATGTCGCACACGTTGCCTGGAATTGACCCAAACCTTTCTCAAAGGCTTGTGCTTTTCACCCTCTGCAATTAGCACACAGTCTCCTGCCCACTTGCCACCCACTCAACCAAGCAGCTCTCTCCATGTCAAATCCAGAGTGAGGCTGGGAGGGCTAGCAGGTAGTCAGTAGTCAGGGTGACGTGGTCCTGGGCCCCGAGGAAAGAGCCACAGTCTCCTTTCCAACCCTGAAGGAATGGAAAACTTACCTGGTCCAAGTCATTGCGCAGAGCGATTTTGCTGGTTACAAGTTCGTGGGCAAGGTCATCATTTTCTTGCTCCAACCTCATGCTGGCCTCCTGTAGCCTCCGATTCTCCCTCTGTGGGTGGGGGGGAGAGCAACAACCGGAGGTGGGCATTAGTGCTGGGCTGTAGCGGCAGAAAGGAGTGGAAGTGGTAGGGAGAAACAAGCAGCAGTGACAACAAGGTGAACTTTCAAAAGTGTCAAAGGAGAAGGCAGAAGTGGCACAGGAAGGCGGGGCTGCTTTCTGGGGAACAACAGTGAGGTAAGCTAGCGGTGCAGATGCGGCACTCAACCCGGTGAACCCTAACAATGGTTCTGAAACTCTCCACACATCATTCATGGCAGGACATGTGCCACAACCAGAATTTCCAGAGACGCTCCCTGGTTCTGTGAGGTTCTCATGAAGACCTAGAACAGACGCAAGCGATTCTTGGTAACATGCAGAGTAGACCCTGAAGGAAACAGTAGGGCACAGTAGGGCTGAGATGGAAGGGAAAACTCTAGACATTCCTTCAACTGCTTTTCCAATACCAGGCCTCAAATTAACTGAATATATTGAAGAGGGCTAAAGCAAGACTCAAGAGCCCTAGATTCATGGCTTTGCTACCAAATGGGATTTTTTCCCATTTTTGTGTAAGAATGCATTTACTTCTGGGAATCCTGATTTTTGTGTTGGGGAAAGCAGTGATCCTTACAATAATGTCTCTAGACCTTTGTCTTTTTTCTTTTTTTTTTTAATCTCAGTGTAAATGATTCTGGGAGGAAAATAAATTTCTGAGCTGACCACACCCCCACCCCACCCCACCCCCGCCCCACCCAGTCATTAACTGCGAAGCAGCAAGGTCTCCTCTGACTCCCATTCTGAACACTGTGCTCCACAGATTTTCAGAATAGCAATTGAGTGTGTTCCATTCCAAAGTACCAGAGGGTTTTCTTTGCCACTGTTAGCAGGGGTCGCAGAGGAGCTGGCAGCAAAGACTTCAGGGTGATGAGACCTTCCTGTTTCTCAGATTTACACTCCTGTTTTCTGTGAGGGTGGCAAAAACTCCGAGCAGCGATGCAAAACCAGGAGACAAAGCTATACCTCAGAAGGCAGTGAATCATAGCAGATGGGGGTGGTGAGGTTAAATTCATTTTCTACAGAACATTCTCATGTTTGTTCTATGAAAAAGAAAATCTAGCTGCTTCTTTTTTAACTTATTTTTTTTAAGGCAATAACAAATGATGAAAGCTGAGAATTGCAGACAGGGAAAGCCAGGCAAAGCCCTGCACTTTGGCTCCATTCTTGCCTTTCCTTTCAGGCCAAGTCGACGGGGCCAGTTGGGGAACGCCAAACAGCTTTTGAAAAAACTAACTTACAAAACAGGCCCAGAATACTTATATTTTAAAACATGTATTACTCGCAGTGTGAAAATACTAGAGGAAATGCTTCTGCTACCTTCAAGAAAAAAAAAATGTATGTCACGGGACAATCCCATTGCTATAACCACGCAGCCAGTCCTGCGGGCGGCTGTTAGCTGCCACGGAGTCGGTCCTCCTAGTGATCCTCCTTGCACTAGAATGGAGCACTGCCCAGGCCTGAGCCATCCCAACAGTCCCTGCTGTGCTTCTGTGGGCTCCCTTTGAGTCATGCCACATCGGCCAATAAAAGTCCTGAATACTTTACTCCATTTAGGTTGTTGGAAGTCAGCTCTTTCTCTGCTTTATTTTGAGTACCTTCCAATTTGTAGCAGCTCATCTTCTGGACTGTTCCAGGCAATGTTCTCCTCCTATCCATACGGTGTTCACTGGCCTCCCCCACACCCCACCTCCGCCCCCGAAATAGACCACCAGGTCCTTCTTTCCCAGTCTGAGTCTCAAAGTTCTGCTAAAACCGGTCCACCAGGGGTGCCTCTGCTGCCATTTGAGATACCAGTGGCATAGCTTCTAGAACCATAAAAGCATGCAAGATACCACACAATACGACAAACTGACAGCAAAGTCATGGTAATTGTGGGCAGTGCTTGTAAAATGCTTCCAAGTTTTCTACTGTGAATATATAACACATTTGTAATGGGGTTAGAAAATTTTTGTTTATTGTTTAAAAACCAGAAAAGAAATTCAAAATCTTGATTCTACTAAAGGTACAAAATGCCCAAACTAGAAATAAAAATTTTTAAGTCCACTCCTGTTAAAAACTCATACTATCCACAAAACCATAGTCCATCTTCTTTTGAGATCTATCTACAATGTAACCCCTCATGCGCACTGCCTCACCAGGAAACTTTCCCCAAGATGTTCCTGAAAAGACAGTGCACATTTTGTAGGAACAAACTGTACTCATCAAACCCTGTCTATTCTCTCGTGTTCCCACAGGAACATGATATGAGTGGAGAATAAAAAAGCTGGGTTCACAGTGAAAATCTATCCATCCAAATTCTGAGGCTGAGGAGTTATCCTTGCATTTTAAGGTTCATTATAATTATTATCTCTATAGAATATCTTACAATAAAATCCTATATAATCTCTTATATAAGATACACTTAAGTCTTACTCCTTCTTTAGGGGAGCAATTTACATACATAAGTATGAAAACATAAAGAAAAAATGTATTGAAAACATTTCCTCATTGGCAGGAAGTACCCAGCATGATTTCAACACAGTAGTTTGCAATGCAAACTGCTTACTCAGGGGAAGGGATTTTTCTCATTTCTTGATACATATCTTCAAGAGAGAGCAAGATAAGACTATTCCTATACCTGCTCTAAGTGTCCCATTTCCACTGAGATTGTGTTTGCACAACTGCAAGGCACAGAAAGCTCTCTCAACCACTGCTGACAACACACGACCGGAGCCCAGTGGTTAGAGCTGCTGCCACCAGTTTTTCAGGTTAGGAGAGATGCTTGAAACGCAGGTAAAAAAACCCTCCAGTTAAAGTCACTATGCTCATGGAAAAGTACTTTGTACAAAGTATCAAAAAAAGTGCACCGAGGTAACCGCTTTACTATTGGCTAGTGATTGTATCATACAAGAGAGCGATGAGCTCAGCCGTAATTCGAACTAGCAATTTCCTGTGAAGATCGCAGATCCCAGGTGCAACTCGAACCGTTCTGAACAAGACTCCAGCTAAGGTGACAGGGTAGGGGAAGCGGGGTAAAGAACTAGAGCAAAACATGACGGTCTGAGGGTGCCTAGAAGAGCCTTGGTGGCAGAGTGGTCATGCATTGGGCTGCTAACCCACAGGTCAGCTGTTTGAAACCACCAGCACTCCTCGGAGAAAGACAAGGCTTTCTACTCCTGCAGGATTTCAGATTTAGTCTCAGAAACCCACAGGTGCAGTTCTACCCTACCCTACAGGGTTGATATGAGTTGGGATTGACTCGATGGTGAGGGTAAGGGTGCCTAAGAAACAAAATAACCTTGGGGACACCCCTATTAATTTTTGCTGTAGCAAGAAGCTTCAGTTCGGTGTCTGCAAAGCAAGCAACACAGTGGGAGTGTCAGACTCCTGCTCGGCACTCACAGACAAGTCAGAAAGCAAGGTGCGGGGCCGAAAATGCAGCATCGTCCTCCAAAGTCTGAACCTGGTGGCACGGTGTCCTCACGAGTTCTCCTGGCTACCAGGCGCTGCAAGCACTAGCGAGGGACCGGGCGTCTGTAAGAACTTGCCCACACCTGCTGAGGATTGCATTAAGTGGCTGGTCTCTCCCAGGCCTTCCTGAGGAGCCAGAATTGATTTCAAATGGACTGACTTAAGGCAAAGAAAGTTTGTATTTCGACTAGAATAGTCGTGGGCAACCTAGCTAGGTTCCTTGTGAAAATCACTGGTGGGAGGGCCCAGCTGAGAGAAGCTTCATTCCCATTAGGCCCTTTCGTCTGGGTCAGCACATGCCCTCACTTGTACAAGTAAGGTGAGCCTATTGACAAAAACGAACATTGCTCCTCTTGTCTTTCTAAGCAGGTCGCAGGAGCCACTGCTAACAGAAAGCCTCCTTCAGCTCGCACTCTTGCGGGCTTTAGAGGAAGGAGCAGGCGGCAGCTGGCCCCCCCATTGGTGCCCCCCGCCCCCCTGCACGGGAGACACAGCCCAGGAAGCTTACAGCTCAGGAAGTTCCCTCAGTAACCTTGGAGAGGAGGATACTGCATTTCCCCCCCTAAAAGAGACAGACGCTGATGTGACAGACACACATAGATTAAAACTTACCTCCTCCAAAGTCACAGACCAACTACTGTTTTCAATCATAGGTACAAAGAATTAAACGGAAACAAGAAAAAAATCCAATGAAACCGCACACCTGCTAACACAATTAGGAAATGGCAAGAACACAACAACAACAACACGTATTAGTGGTGCTTTTGTTATTTTGTCTTTCCTTGGTCGCACACTCCCAAGCTCTCCCTCAGACTGCAGACACTTGATGGGAGAAAAGTGTACTGAAAGGCAACCAGTGGGCAAGTCTCGACTCAAGAAGGCTGATGCTCTAACTCCGCCCTCTCCAAACTGCTACTTGCAGCTCGGATGGCCGATGGAAATGTGGAAGTATTAGCAATTACGGTGCCAGCTGTTGAGACTGTGTTATTAAAGCTGGGTGAGAGGGACTTCCTTATGTGAGAAGGTCAGAGACTTTGCAAAAAAGAGTTCATTTTTAGACAACAGAACGAGAAGGATGGGTAGAGAGATGCAACAGACAAACCCACCCCTGGGCCTGTTTGCGTCTGCCTGGAGGCTGCAGTTTGGGTGAGACGATACAAAAACTGGGGAATCACGCCATTTATGCCAAGATGAGAAACCAGAGAAATATGAACTAGCAATCATATGAAAATACTCTGAGCGTCACAGGAAAAAATGAGGCAGCTCTATAAACCCAAGCTCAATATTTTGGGTGTGTTGTCTGTTGCTACATTGGATTCCTGGCACATCTTTTGAGAGACATTTAAGGGTCAGGAGAAAATGTTTTCCTTAAAGTCTGCAATTCCATTAACAAACAACACCTTAAGAAACATCATGGCACAGATTCCTTTGGGCAGCTCCTTCCAAACCGAATTGATAGTCATCGGGTTCCCAGTTTAAGCTGACAATTATTTGGTATCCAAAGG